TTTTTCAAGTTTCACAGCCACCGTAGATTCTCCTTAGAGTTTCCTTAGAAATTGAGAGTGAAGCGAGGGAGTTTCCATCTGCAACTACTACTACTACACCGCTAGATGCCACTAAGTCCTACACACGGTCCTTTAAATGTTTATATATAAACGTATGTGTATGTGTCACCTTATCCAACAGGTTTGTGTGGGAACTTCAACAACATAATGACTGATGACTTCAGGGTAATGAGCGGGCTGGTGGAGGGCACTGCTACGGCGTTCGCCAACACATGGAAAACCAGAGCCAGCTGCCCTGACATCACAACAGGCTTCGGGCACCCCTGTAGCCAGGGCATCAGCAAGGGTACCGCTGTTTTCCAATGTCTTGCCACATCATATCATGTTTGTCATGTATCATATTATATGAAAGCATTCCACATACCTTACACTGCATTTTACCATGCCATTTTTAATGAATATGATGTTTTGTAACCATTTCATTTCTGTATGTTTTTGTGCATCAGAGAGCTACGCCCAGTACTGGTGCTCCATACTAACAGATCCCAATGGAGTGTTTGCTCAATGCCACGCTGTCATTAGCCCCAGCGTATACAAAGATGTAAGTGTGCACATGCAAACCTGTAATGATGAATAAACTTATTAAACTGCTATACCCTTATTAATATTTCCATGTACACTGTGTCTCCTCACAGAACTGCTTGTATGACACCTGTAACTGCGAGAAAAGTGAGGACTGCATGTGTACCGCAGTCTCCTCATATGTCTACGCCTGCTCAGCGGCAGGAATCCAGCTCACTGACTGGAGGAAGACCATCTGCGGTGAGATAAACACTCACCTTTTTTCTTTAACTGTGATAAATGGAGAGGGGCTGGGTTTGTAACAGCTGATCACATGCATCATCAACAATATAAGAGCACTTTGATTTTATTAATTTATTGGTTTCTTTATTGCAGCAAAAACAATAATGATTCTGTGAGGTAAACATTACAAAAACTAAGCACAGCATATACAAAGTTGTCCCACTCCTTTTGGAGCATTGGTCAACTTTCTTCTTTCCTGTACAATGGATCTGTAGCATCTCATATCCTCTATAGCTCGTCTATGTTCAAAAGACAACCACATTTTGAAAATGGATAAAAGATAACAGCAACATAGTCACATCTTAAGCTAATGTTAGCAAAATACTAGCTAACTAACAATTGATGTGAATTAGCTAGCTGGTTAGCAAGTGTTTTGCTGTCATAAGCTATCAGATGTAACTAGCTAACTAACGATTGATAGTGATTAGCTAGCTAGTTAATTAGTGTTTTTCTCTGTAGCAAAACAACTAGCTAGCTAATGATTAACTAACTTAAGAGGTAATATGTCATTTTTAGCATTTAACTTTGGTCATCTTTTAAATGTAGACTAGTCTTACACAAAGCATATAAGTACAGGAAAGAGAAAGATGGCTGAGGCTTGCTTAACTGTTATTGGAGAAAGGCTTAGAAAAGGTCAATATCATTATGTGCCTCTGCAACAAAAAACAATTATTTTTTTAAATATATTTTACTTGTCCTCTCAGAAGTTAATCATGTGCCATACGGTAGTTACATGAAAAACATCTGATACTCATGTTACCACTCAACTCGTATCTCTCCCACTAGGCAAGTTCAGTGAATCATGTCCAGCGGAGACGGTGTACGACTACAACATGATCTCCTGCGGTCGTACCTGCCGCTCCCTCAGCCAGGTTGACTACTCCTGCCAGACCAACTTCACCACAGTGGACGGCTGCGGCTGTGCCGAAGGAACCTACATGAACGAGGAGGGGCAGTGCGTGTTCAGTGCAAGCTGTCCCTGCTATGATAAAGACACCATAATTCCTCCTGGAGAGGTTGTCAGCAAAGACGGCAGCACATGGTAAATAGAGAGTGTGATATTGAGAGTTGGGCATTAAGGGGTCGGGGGTTTACTTTATAGTGAGCAGAGAATTGAGATTATGGACATGGATTTGTTTCATCTCAGGGCATTACAGAGCATAAGTTTTACATTCTGAATTCAGACACTCAAATAAAATGAGTTAAAGTAAACATGGTTAACTAGGTAGACTATAGAGAGTTACTTTAGGAAGAGTCTGTGTAATGGAAACAACATCCCAAAGATGGTGAATGGTAAAATGGAACCCTGTACTGTATTACGCCTCCGACCAAACTCCAAGAGCGCTTTTTTTACACTTAAACGTGGCCCGCAAATCACGCCTTTTCACACAAGCGATTGCAAACCCATCCGAAAAGAAAACTAACCATTTCCATACACATTCACACAATTTGGGGGGTTCCCAGTTAATCTTTTTCCTCAAGGGGATAAACTTTACCACGTTGGCCAAGGGAGGAGAACGGGATCGAACCACAACCTTTCCAATTGGGCGAACCGCTTCCTGGCCTCTGAGCCACAGCCGGCCCTAATAAATAACAGCAACTTCCCACACAGCCCAAAGACTTTACATTACAAAACTCGAGCTAGCTAATGATTGACAGGGATTAGCTAGCTAGTTTGCTTATGTTTTTAACCATCTTTAAACTTTGGTCATCTTTTCTACATAGAAGAGCCTAGCACAAAGTAGAAAGTTGGCCAAGGCTTGCTCAACTGTTATTGGAGCACAGATCAAAATGGGGGCTTAAGAACAAAGTTCAATTCATTTTAAAGGTGCTATATGCAGTTTGTCTTGTGTATGTTGTCACTTGTTATATGATAAAAATATGAAATCATATAAAATAAATCTAACTTAGCTTATATTTAACTTTTTCTGGTGTGACTATAAATTTAGCAATGGTTGGAACCAACTTGGAACATGTGTGAACGTGTTTTTTTCCATTCTACCAATTCTGCCATAATTACAGTGCACCATTACAACAACTAACATTTTATCACAAAGGCAATAGGTTAAAAAAGCAAGGGGAAAGTCAAAGGGCAAGTTAGAGGACATTTCAGCCCGTGTACATCATTACTACTAAGAGGGATAAGACAAGAAGGATTTCAGGATTCTGACTGATGACTCTGTTCCTTCTGCTTCTCACAGTGTCTGCAGACAAGGCGCTCTCAGCTGCTCAGGATTGCAACAAACAGAACGTAGGTTTCCACATATGGATATACTCAAATCCCTGTAATTCTAACAACAACACAAAGTTTGAATGTTATTGTGCTTAGCAGTTGAATTCAACTTGTGAATGGTGTAATGATTCATTTAAAAACTGCCAGGAATTTTGACATGATTATAATCCGCTTTATCATGAACTTGTTATTTATATTACCCAGCTTCATTATCCTGCATTCCCCCCATGGTTTACTTCGACTGCTCCACTGCTCTACCCGGTACCACTGGAACCGAGTGTCAGAAGAGCTGTAGCACAATGGACATGGCCTGTGTAAGTATAGCATAATGCTCACACACTCACATAGGTCAAACGATTCTACACACAGTCCCTGTTTGGCTCACACCCTCTTTTTACCCTCCACCATGGTTGGATACAGATCAGCACAGGCTGTACATCGGGCTGCATGTGCCCTCAAGGCCTGGTGTCAGATGGAACAGGAGGCTGCATCAACGAGACCAACTGTCCATGTCTGCACAATGGAAATGTCTACCAGTCTGGACAGACACTGGTTGAGGGCTGCAACACCTGGTTTGTACAGTGCTTTAAATACACACCAGTATAATACGTACCTGCATGGAAATCTACACACTAAATATTTCTTGTGTTGGCCCACACAATGATTTCATTATTTCGCCTATACAACTAATTTCAAAGATGCCGTTTTACTTAAACACAAATATTAAGATAAGAACGAATAGACATTATATATATATATAAAGTGCTAAATGTCCAATACACATTTATTTTTTATGTAGAGCTGTTTTGTCTCAAGTGCAGGCACATATTTTTGTTTTTCATAACAAAACAATTTCTTCCATTTTCCTTCTTGACTGAAATGCAATTTTTGATATCATTCTCACACAGAAGTTCTATTGGTATTCTAACAAGTAATACACATTCTACATAAGTCTTACTACCTTTAACAGAAATTCTTTAATATTGGCCAAAACCAAAACATACTGTTTTACACACATTTTAAAATTTCAAGTAACACAAGCTCAACTTTGTAAGATAAAAAAGATTGTAGATTAAGCAGCATTTACTAGTAATTTTAAATGACACTAACTTAGTTTTGTAAGTTACGAAACATTCCTGATTAAGTACTTTTTACTAGGTATTTTGTTTTCACAGTATAAATCAAATTAAGTCAGTGTCACTTAAAATGACTAAACCCACAATGTTTTTTTCTAACTTACAAAGTTGAGTTAGTTTTACTTAAAAGTTTTGATATAATAAGTTTCAAAAATTGTTTTTATTAAATGAAGTACTGAAGGAGGTGTGGTTTCATCACATTTTGACATGACAGTTTTATGTTACTAATAAATTCAATGATGTTGATACCTTTATACCAAGCTTTCAACCTATTAATAAATCTACTGTGAAAACCAAAACATTTACAAATTTCAAAAATGAATTGCCATACTCAGTTGAGCAGCATTTTAAACTTTAAGGATAGATACACCGTGTGTTCAAATAGACATATCAGATCTTTGTATAAGCAACTTTGACCTGCTTTGATCCAATCTCAAAAAAATATATTCTGAAATGAAGTAAAATAATTACTAATCCTTTTGATGATGATTCTAATAGATAAAACCCCTGAACATTCCCTAAACATGTATAAAAAATGCTCTTTAATGATTTTTCTAGACATGTTTACATGATTTAAAGTGTGTGTTTGATGTGTGTCTCCCCAGCTACTGCAGTGGAAGGAAGTTCACATGTACCACCAATGTGTGTGATGAAGTTTGCACGATCTATGGTGACGGTCACTACGTCACATTTGATGATAAGCGGTTTGACTTCAGTGGACAGTGTGAATACACACTCCTACAGGTAAAGTGGCTAGAATGACTGATAAACAGTGATTAAAGTTCTAATCCTTAAAATGTTCTGGTCAATTTGGCAACATGGTGACAGCCAGTGCGGTTTAATACAACAGCAAAAAGTCCTCGAGCAGCTTGTTTGTCAGGAATACAATGGAAGCGCAGCCCTGTTTACAGAGCAGCCAGCAGCCAAACAAACTCACATTGTTTAAGTGAAAATGTCAGTTGAAGATCCCCTCCAGACATGTATTACCACATAAACAAACAACAGAACAGTAATATGTGTCTGATATGTTTTTTCCACAAACAAAAGTTTGAAAACACCCCTATCTACTCCTTCTACCTCATTAAATATTTCAGAATCCATGAATATGCATTGTTTTCCTGCTGGATACAAGATGTCTCCTACTTAATGTCCATGTGATGTGCACTGGTGGCTTCAAGTTTCTACATCACACTGTACAAGTTGCATACTGGACCAGGTGTGATGTCACAAATAATGCTCATAGGCCCTCGCACCTTAAATTCAGTTTCTTTCAGCAGTTGAATGTTAAAACATCCTTCTAGTGGCAAACTCTACATAGACATCATTCAAACATCACCCTGTAGGGACAAGATGAAAAACATTTTGTGTGCAGGGGAACTTTAAAAATCTGCCTTCTTCTATCAACAACCTTTATCTGATATCATGTTGCACATGGCTTGAGTGGGCACACTCATTGAAAGAATTACACTGCATTTCCTGTGGCTATTTCATAATCAAATCTACCCTTTGTTTTGCCAGTTGAACACTTAATGTGAAACACCAGCAGGAAGAAATGTTGCATTAGCCTTAGCAATAACTTCAAAAAGCTGTAATACGGCTGTAAGAGAGTGAACCATTAACAGTGAGCCAGATATCAATGAGATAAAATTGCACTGGATTCTGCATCGATTCCTGTAAGGCCCTCATGGGCAATCTGAATCCAGTACGGGAATACACTAAATGGCTTCTGCAGAAAACATTATTGTTGTAACATTATTACTGCGGCCAACGAGACTCCATTGACAAAACTAGTAATGTTATGTCGCAGATAGTCATATAATACTCTTCAAAATGGACTGAAACAAAATAAAACTCACCAAAACTCTTTGTTAGTCTTACTAACAATCACCAACTCTGGTTTGGTCAAAATAAACCCTTAATTCACAGAGTGAGATTGCTGTGAATCAGGCTTCTATGGCTGCTATGCTATTGTAACATGAACTAATCCTTGGGGACAAATGCTTGTTTTAAGTGTCTGACAACGATATGGAAATGATCCCTACAGACATAGACCTCCGTTGACCGTTGTAATTTTACCTTGCATATCATCGTACCATTGTAACTTAATTCAAAGTGGACAGAAACAAAACAAACCTCACCAAAACCGTCGGTTAGTCTTTTCAGTATTCCAACAATCGACACCTCTGCTTTGGTCGAAATAAATCCTTACTTCAAAGGGGTACATGAGAGAAACAGTCTCAGTCGCTGTACAGCTGCACATGGAGCAGACTAGTTATGTAAACAAACCACAGAGAGGCTGCGATAGCAACACAGGCAGACAACACCATGACCATATATATTTATATAGAAAGTAGATGTTTGCAGCTCTACTAATGTTTTAAATATCATATAACCTTTAACAATGATGTCCAGTAGTTACTTTGCATTTCGTGCCTTCCTCAGGACTTCTGTGGCACCGATCAGAGCAAAGGAACCTTCAGAATTATCACTGAGAATGTCCCATGTGGAACCACCGGGACCACCTGCTCCAAGACCATCAAGATCTTCCTGGGGGTAAGCACAAGACACTTACACTGTGCATAGGTTCTGTCTCAAACACTAGATCAATATATCAAACTGAGATTGATATTAACACAGTAAGGTTGGGCTAGGATTATGACTCAAATGACCATCAGTAATGCTGGAACCTATTAGCCTCATAATGCCTTTTATTTGCTAACATACTTGGAGGTGTAAGGTTCACTCTACTCTTACTTGTTCCATCTCACTTACATTGTGCCACAATAAATTGCATGTTTGTCTTATGTTGATGCAGGATAATGAATTCCAACTTAAAGATGAGAACTTCCACGTGGTAAAGGGCAGCAGCCAGGTGTTCCCTTCTCAGGTGCAAAAGATGGGTATTTACCTGGTGGTGATGATCAAGCCGGGACTTGTGCTCATGTGGGACCAGAAGACCAGTCTTTTCATTAAACTCAGCCCGCTGTTCCAGGTAAACAATCAAGTCTGCATGTCTTTTTTGACAGCTGTTAAAAGAGTTATTGGTTATTTAAGCCAGTTAATTTCAGTCTGGCTTATTGTTGAGAATCTTTACAGACATGTGGACATTTTGTTCCATTTTGTTCAATATTTTTGGTTAAGATATTGATGAACAAATACCATATAGTGGCTCTGTGCAATGTAAAAAGGGTTGCTCATAGTGCTGCAATCGCAAAGAATTATCAGCAACCCTACCTTTTTAGCTTTTTAGCCATTTTTAGCTTCCTTCTTTGTTTTACTGTCATCAACCCAGAAAAGGTTAATGACTATTGTATCTAGCTTAAGAACTTCCACAGGAGCTGGTGGGAACAAAACAGGCTAAATTTGTCTGGTAATTTATAGCATTACAGCATTCTGTCTGTTAACACATCGGCCACAACAATTTTAAAAGTCAGGACTATAATAACAATAATAATGTTTTCCCAGACTCTAGAGAAAATTCATCATTTCAACTTTACAAGTTACATTTCTTCTTCTTGGAAATTTGGCAGAAAATGTTACACTGTTATACTGAGGTATTTTTTTAGTCAGCAACTCCTTTTGTACTGGACAGTTGAATATGAGACAGGGCACAGTTGCCATGGGTTTGGTAAATATTACACACAAGGTGTCAGTATCAAATGAAAATGCCAAACCTACAGTTGTGATGTGAATGATGTATTTGTGACGACAACCACTGGGTTCCTCCCTCTCAGGGTCAAGTCTGTGGTCTGTGTGGAAACTACGACGGCAACAGTAAAAATGACTTCACCACACGCTCTCAGGAGACTGTGGCAGACGTTCTAGAATTTGGTAACAGCTGGAAGGTTTCGTCCAGCTGCCCAAACGCCGAACTAATCACCGATCCCTGTTCCTCCAACCGCTACCGGGCAGCCTGGTCCCAGAAACAGTGTAGCATCATCACCAGTGCCACCTTCCAGAGCTGTCATTCACAGGTAACTATGGTGTTAACACATTCACATAACACTATATATCACTTCAACTGCCATGGTATTTGAGAAATTGTATAAATGGTATTGTTTCTCTCCATCTTTGGCACTAAGTGCTCATTGCTGTATTTATCACTTGGGTGGTCTCCCCATTTTGGTAACCCCTGACCTTCTAGCAGGTTCACATTGATAGCAAAACCTATATTATTTCTAGTATTGCTACCAGTGGCACTGCTGTTACTACAACTAGCACAGGATGAGATTTTAGTTACCCTCTACCTTTCTAATTCTGCTAAACAGTACATTATTGTGTGTTCAAGGTTGATCCTGGTCCATACTTTGATTCTTGTGTGAGAGACTCTTGTGCTTGTGACACCGGTGGGGACTGTGAGTGTCTCTGCACTGCTGTGGCTGCCTATGCGAAAGCTTGTAATGAAGCTGGGGCCTGCATTAAATGGAGAACTCCCAAGATGTGCCGTAAGTTTGACCACCATCACACCAGGAAAATCTGAGCCACAGGTGGTTGTCTTTCAAGATAGCCTAGCACATAGCATATCTAAGTACAGGAAAGAAGAAAGTTGAAATGGTTAATTGCATTAGTCAAGACATTTAAATTTGTCATATTAAATAATACCTTTACTTTGTAATAAGACAAAATAAGTAATTGTTGTGTCTCTTGCAGCTATTTTCTGTGACTACTATAATGCCCCTGATGGCTGTGAGTGGCACTACAAGCCTTGTGGAGCTGACTGCATGAAGACATGTAGGAATCCATCAGGAAACTGTTCCAACCTCATTACCGCTGTGGAAGGTACATTAGACAGATCTTAGACTTTGCTTCTCTGGTTATCTGTCTGTTTAGACACAGTGTAAAAGCGTATGGACTATATTTAATGGGGTGGTTGTGGTTCAGGTGGTAGAGAGGGTTGTCCACTGATCACAAGGTCGGTAGTCCAGCTCCTCTTGTCCACATGTCAAATGTCCCTGGGCTGAACCCTATATTATCCCAGCACCTTGCATGGTAGCTCACTGCTATCGGTGTGTGAATGTATGTGAATTGGTACGGAAAGGTTGTATTTCTTTATTTTTTTTTTATTTCTACTGAGGTGAATCAAAATGTTTAATGGTGTTGCAGGCTGCTATCCACAGTGTCCCCCAACCAAGCCCTACTTTAATGAAGACACCATGAAGTGCGTTGCCTGGAACCAATGTGGCTGCTATGATGACAAAGGCACGCATTACGGCATCGGAGATCAGGCTCCATCGGACAACTGTTACTCTTGGTATGTCTCATATAGACAATTAATTTTTACACGAAGGGATTAACACACAATAGGCAATGATGCATTTACCACATTTGGACATGCACACTAGTGATGCAAAAGTAGCACAAGCCATAGAGCCATAATAGCCCCATTAATGCAAAATATTAAATTTTATCTAACTAGAACAAATACTTTAAACATGACATTTCAATTCAACCATTACCAAACCCGCACCCCTATCCCCCAGAATCTTTATTAATGATGATTACATTTCTTTTAAATGTATGTCTATTGACCTCAACACTAAATGTTACATATTTTCACGACAGTCCGACACTTCTCACACCTGTGAGAATCAAAAGTCTATTGGTAACACATATCACAAGTGGGATTAGAAAGCATCTTCATATTGTATCTCAAAATAGGGGACCCATAGATATTTATAAATCTTCTAAAGTACGGTGGCCCTGAGAGCTCAACACACTCTGACTTAAGAGAAAAGATGCAAATGGACAAAACACACCAAATTCAGAAACCGTCTACAAAAAAATGTACATCATTTGCGCAGTATTCAGCACAGCAAATATGAAAAACAACCAAATATGGTAAGATGCTGCAAATATAGAAAACATTTTGAGGTTTGTTTTACATCTTGAAATATAGTTGTGGTTTCTGATGGCATTAGCCAAATGGCTGTTAGTAAAATCATTTTTTTATTGAAAACATCTACAATGAATAACATGCAAGATGGCAATGACATGACCATAACTTCTTTCTATTTCAAAGCTCCTGCACAATCTCAGGAATAAAATGCAGCTACGACGTGAACAGTAAGTATATTCTGACTGAGTGTATATTTTTTATTTACTTATTTATGTAAGTACGAAAAAACTCGTTTATAGTAAATACACTAACAAAAACAAACATATATGTATGTATGTAACAAACTATCCAATATACTATATATTTATATATATTTGCATGATGAAAAGATGATACTCTTCATCTCCAGCTTGCACATGCTTCGTTAACGGAAAGACCTACGAATATGGTGCAACCATTTACAACACAACAGATGGTCTGGGAAGTTGCATCACAGCTGAGTGTGGGGCCAATGGGACCGTAATCAGGACCATGTACTCATGTGTAACTACAACCACCCTTGGCCCTACAACAACCCCGTTTACATTCAGCACGGTTGGAAAAACCACTTCAGGTACGTAATGGTGAAAGCAACACTCAGCAACAAAGCAACAAACAGCAATGTTTTATAAAAAAAAGAAACGTTACTTTTTGAATTGTTCACATAATATATTTTCTGTCACATCCAAACCTCTAGAAACAACAACATTGCAAACAACAACAGAAAGGATTGAGACAACAACATCACAGGAAGTCACAACTGGTCCAGTAACTCGTACTGGTACGACCACGAGAGTACCTCTAAAAACAACAACTGAGGGGACAACAGCAAAACCTGTGGAAACCACCACATCAGAAGAGACAACAGTAACG